TGCTCCAGAAAAGGCTGCAAGTGATGCATCCACCAAAGGGAGGGGGGAAGAGTGGTGGGTTTCAAATATTTTTACTACCAGTTCTGTGGGTGTGGCTTGGTGGGCATGGCATGGCTTGGTGGGTGTGGCAGGGGAAGGATACTGTAAAATCTCCATTTTCTCCCCACTCCAGGGGAAGGTTACTGCAAAATTCTCATTTCCTCCCAATCAGCTGGGACTCAGGAAGCAGAGAATAGATGGGAGCAGGGCCAGTCAGAGGTGATATTTACTGGTTCTCTGAACTACTCAAAATTTCTGCTACCGGTTCTCCAGAATTGGTCAGAACCTGCTGAAACCCACCTCAGGGGGGAAATCTTCCTGATCACAGCCTCTACCTGCTGGAGATATGAGTATTGAAGGGTCCAGAAATTGCTCTTTCATGAGTAATGACATCTCAACAAAAGCTAAAGGTACAAATATGAAGCAGTGTGAAGGGTTTTGAACAAATAGCATCCATGACATTCTGGAATTCATCCTACATCTGCTCTGTCTCATTAACTGCTCCTAGCCACTAGTCAAGATTTCTGTCATATTTGTTATTTAACCTCAGATAGACACATCAAGATGGATATCATCAGCATATTGACAGTACCTCTTCTTGAACCTTCCCAACAATTTCATGCACGTTACACAAAATGGGGACAGGGCCAAGCTTTGAGTCACCCTACATATAAGTGACTAAAGGGTCAGTTTCCCTTCTACCACCAGAACTGATTGGATCTGCCCAATTAGGAGGGTGTGGAATCACTGGATATAGTGTTCCTGACCTCCAAGCCCTGCAAGTTGTCAAAAGATTATAATAGAAAATGGTATTGAACTCTTCCTGCCCAGAAATCAGACAGGACAAACAGGCATATTTTCCTAATTTAAGTCCCACTGAGATTATTGTCAACAGTACCCAGTGCAATTTCGTTCCTATTCTCAGGCCTGAATCCAATCTGCTTCATTCATGCCCTTTCTAACTCCTGCCACGCTTCTTTCCAGCAATTTTCACTAAAATGTTAACATTCTATGTTAACATTCTACCGTAACATTCAAAGTTGCTCTTTGTCTTTCCCTCACTGAACTGAATATATTAAATTCAGTTCAGTGAGGGAAAGACAAAGAGCAACTTTTCTAAAAAGGCTGGGGAAATAAGACTTTTAGGGAAGATATTCAGCTTCATGAAATGAACACCAAGAGCAGGTATAGGCAGAGAAAGCAGAAACCAAAAATGGAGATTCTCAACAGAGGGGAGAAAGGAAAGGAGTTTAAGGTTGTACCACTCATTCATACCCAAATGGGCTAAATGAGTTGGAAGAAAGGCATAGTTTAGCTCAAGAATGGAGAATAAAGAAAATATCATCTGAGGGAAGGAAAAGGGGATTTTTTGGTTTGAGGAGATGGAGAAGGAGAAAGAGAGAGAGATAATATCACCTTTCTTGTAACATTGGGCTACCTGAGTGAAAGGGTTAGACAGAAAATAAAAGTGAATGAAGAATATTCTTCCCCTTTGACCATTTTTATCCTTTCCCAGAAGAATTAACAAAAAGAAAACCAAGTTTTACTTCAGGAAGTTGGGAAATAACAACAACAACAACAACAACAACAAGAACCTTTATTGTCATTGAACATATATACAACAAAATTGATTTAGCCTCTACTGGTGCAATCCATAACAAAATTACCAGACAACATGAATAGAAAATGGTCCTTATACAAGTAGTTAGGGAGAAAAGGGAACATATATGTTCCCATATATGCACGGAGTGATTGTAGCTGTATTTAGGAGTCTGACAGCCCATGGATAAAAGCTGTTTTTAAACCTGTTTGTCCGGCTGGCTATACTTCTGTGTCTTCTGCCCGATGGTAAAAGTGAGAAAAGACACTGACCAGGATGTGAATTGTCCCACAGTATCTTCCTTACTCTGCTGAAACAGCGAGACCTGGCATGTTATCCAGTGGCGTTAGAGGGCAACCAATGGTTTCTTCTGCCGAATTAATCACTCTCTGTAGTGCCTTCCTGTCCGCAGCTGTTGAACCAACGTACCATACTGTTATACAGTATGTAAGGATACTTTCTATCGTAGACCAATAGAAAGAAGTCATCAGCCGTTGCTCCACCTGATTTTTTCATGGGACTCTAAGGAAATGAAGTCTCTGTTGAGCCTTACTAACCTCATTAACTTACTTAAATCATCAGTAAATTGTGAAACAGAAGAGAAAAATGGCTTTTTCTTTCCTCTCTCTTGACTGAGGGATGGGAATAAAGGTTTTTTTAGCAGAATGAGCAGTGATAGACAGGATCACTTAATCATTATTTTAAATAAAAGGTTTTACTGTGATGATCAGATTTAGACACAGCCAAAAGACATGATAAATTATGAACAGTGAGATTACAACTATTTCAATGGCTCAAAAGTTAATCCTTCAAATCAATATCAGAAAGTTAAGAAAAGCATACACTGTATACATATATTTAGACACATACAGCCATTCCCAGTCTAGCCCAGTTTTTCTTTCTGGCTTAAATGGGAATGTTCAAATTAAAATATGTTTTATCTTTTCATTGAAAGTTTTTTTCCCCCCGTGGGACAATGCCTATAATTTTAGAAGTACTAACAAAAATGGGGAAGCATTAAGAGATATCACTATCTGAGATGTTTGCAGAAACTCATCTTCATAGTTTGAAGAATCTTGCCTGAATTTTAATAACATTGGACACTGGTATCAGAAACTGTAGTTATGTTTTCAGGGTGGTTATCAGTTATACCATATTTTTACAGCAGTACTTGCAAGAAGACAAATGACTTAATTAAAATGATACAATTTGACTAGATTTTTTCCAAACAGAGACATCAGAAACCACATTAGACACATTGTGGATGTTATTAACAAGATTAAATTAAAAAGCACCTGTGATTTTTTCCCCCGTGATACAGAAAAAGCTTTTGACAATTTGGAATGGTCTTTCATGCTTGTGGTTTTGAAAAAGATGAGTTGCAGTTTCAATTTTTTTAAATAACTTGGATACAGAGCATTTATAAAGAGCAAACAGCCAAGAAAATAGTAAATGGCTGTTTATCACAGCAATGAACTGCACTGAGGGGGACAAAACAATGTTTTAGAACTGTTGGTTGCTTTCTATCAACAGCATTTTGGCTTTCTTTCTTGGTCAAAGCTCTGAACTGGTACAAGCAGCGAACCAAACTGAGGGTACAATTGAAGATGTAGAGTAGGAAATTAGACAATACATTTAGGATTTGGTATTAATGGGAGTTGGTTAAGGAATCAAGCTAGAATCCAGGAAACTCTGAGTTTTAGTTCCACTTAAAATACAAAGGCAGCTGAGAGTAGGAAGAGTGGTAGAACCTCTGGGGGTGGAGTTAAAAGAGGGATCAGCCTAGAATTCCCAAACAGCCACAAATGAACTAAGTTTCAATTTCCATTGAATTCTGTTGACCCTTATTTAACTCCAAGTTAAGAAGATTTCCATGCAAGTTAAGAAGAATCCCAAGAAGATTCCCATGATTAGCAGTAAATCAGTTAATGGACTTTCATGTATAGACCTGAGCTTTCATGAATGACAGATGCTCAGTTATTCTTTGTTTCAATTTTTCCTCTTTAGTTATAGAGCTTTGTTCTTTCTCAGAAGACAAAGGAGAGGGTGGCTGGTTTGGAAATGAAAACAATTTAATAGTTATGCTGGTTTCTCTAATGCTGATTCTTCTTAGTCTGCCTTCTAAGCTGATTCATTCATTCATTCAATTCTATAACCACCCATCTCAGTCAATGACTTTGGGCAACTTACAATTCAAAGAATACATTACAATTAAGACACCAAAACATTTTAAAACAATAAAATCAATCTTTTAATGCTTGTGTTAGCTGTTTCGTTGGAACAAGCTTCAATGCAGGCAACCCTATTCCATTAGTTTTCTGCTGCTCTAGATGATGTAGAAGGAATGGTAGGACCTGGGGGCAGAGTTAAAAGAGGGATCAGCCTAGAATCCCTATATAGCCACAAGCAAATTAAATCCAACCGTCCTTGAATTCTGCTGACCCTCATCTAAACCTAAGCAGATATTAACCATTACTTGAGAAGATTCTTGTGCATAGGAATAATCAGCAATAAATTAGTTTCATTAGACCTTCTCATGCTTGATTCTCGGTTACAGACTCTCAGGTGTGTCCTTTGCTGTTTAAGCAGCCATAGCATCTCCTTTTCCTTGGGGTGGACACCTGTAGACCAAAGAAAACATGCTGCCACAAAGCTGGCTGCCAAGAAAGGAAAGTTGTGTTAAGAGCCGTGGTAGCGTAGTGGTTAGACTGCAGTACTGCAGACTACTTCTGCTGACTGCTGGCTGCCAGCAATTTGGCAGTTCAAATCTCACCAAATCTCACCAGGCTCAAGGGTGACTCGGCCTTCCATCCTTCCTAGGTCAGTAAAATGAGGACCCAGATTGTTGGGAGCAATATTGTGACTCTGGAAAACACCTAAAGAGGGCTGTAAAAACACTCTGAAGCGGTATATAAGTCTAAGTGCTATTGCTATTACGTGGTCTTGTGCGTATCACAAATGTCCCTCGGGTCAGGCTCCCCGGCCCACCCCAAATGGAAACTCTTGTTTGTGCTGAATTACGAACTAGCTTTTTCTACCACTTTGCATGAGACTACAGCCTTTTTACATGTCACTGAACCCACCATTCCCAGTTTAGGTCAGCTCAGAGAGCTGCAAGTTGGGCTTGCAAAACTTCAGGAAGGACACAGGTGTTTTCTTTTCCCCCCCTCCCTTTCCTAAACTATGAATTCAGGGCAGTTACTTTTTGAGCTGCCTGTTTCACTTTCACAAGTGTCCTTGTTTTTTGTTTTTTTGTTGCTCCGGTTAGAGAGAGTCAGAGAAGCTTTGGAGTAAACCCTCGTGGGACCCGAGCTGCGAAGGGCGAGCCCAAGAAGCCGCACCTGTTGCCTTTCTTCCCGTAGCCTACAGGATTTATAGCGGGTAGGTCCGGGCAATTTGGGAGCAGCATTGACGGGAAGAGCGAAAGGCGCTCACCCCTTTTGCGCCAGCCCAGCTAAGTTTTGGCGGGAGAGGAGGACGCTCCGCCGACCTGGGACAAGGAGTCATCAGAGACCGAACCGCACTAGGAGGCACGAGAAAGCACGGCGGGAGGGTCGGCGCGCTCGACTCCAGGTGCTGAGAACAGCCGGGCGAGCAGAGCCCTTTTGCCTCCCGCTGCTTCTTCGCCTTTTTTCTTTTTTTCCCTCCTCCTCCTCGTCGTCGTCCGCCTCTTTCCTTCTGGAGCGGAGGAAACCTCTCGGCTGCAGCGAGCGCTGTGATTGGCTGCGCGGGGCGAAAAAGCAGGCAGAGCGCGCGGCGTTTCCTCCCGGAGAGAAGCCGAGCAACGGGAGAGATCGAAGCCGGGAAGCTGGGCTGACTGAGCTCGCCTCGTACCTTTGGAACCGGCTGGTCGATCGGGGAAGGGGAAGGGGGGGGGGGACTTCCCGTCTTCCTCGCTCTACGCTCGCTCCTGTCGGGACGATAACTTTGCCAAGACTCACACGAGACTTGCAAAAAGGAACGGGGCGCCAAAAAAAAAAAAAAAAAAAAGAGGGCGCGGGAGCGTACGGGCTAAGGTAGAGTGCTCCTTCCTAACGCGATCGCTTCTCTACTTTACGAGGCGCTGCGGACAAGATGCAGCCAGCCGCCGCTAAGTGGTCAGCCGTACCCTGAATGGGGGCGCCGGACTTCTCTCCCTGCAGTGGTAAGATAACAGATTCGGAATGTCTTCTCAGCCGATCGAAGGGAATGTTGCTATTCGATTCGCTACGTCTAATCAGTTGATTTACTAATAATCATTATCCTCCGTTATCTCTCACCCCCCCCCCCCAAAAGAAAGTAGTTAGCGATTTCTCGCACCGCAGTGGAAATGCCTATTTATTAGGCTTTGGTTACCTGGTGGTGAGAAAATATTCTGCATGCCTCCAGAGGTCCGCTTTTCTTTAGAGGTACCTGAGCTTACATTTTTTGTTTTTTTAAAAAAAGGGATTGAAATGAAGTCTCAGAGCAGACTTTTACTTCCAGATAGTTTGAGATGTGGAGAATGTCAGATACTGAGGATTCTAAGACAAGGCAGTTAGAAATTTGGGGAAGGTATTTCCTACCTCAAGGCTAGCCGGAGATAATTTGGCCCTGATCTGTGTGATGGTGAGAAATTTCCATCCCCATGAGCCCCATAAGGCATGTCTGTTAGGCTACCCGATGTGGACTGCTGAAATAAAAATGCACCAAATAGCGTCAAAGAATGTAGACTTTTCTTTGTCTCTTCGTTGACATTGAGTGATAGCTAGATTTTTGTAACTCTCTCAACCTATACCTTTAATATTCTTCAGACAAACAGGATGATGGGAGTTGTAGGCCATCGCATATGGAGGAGGCTAAGGTTCTAAAAATTCCTCTAAATAAAGCTTCAATGTAGCTCATTAGAGTAGACAACCAACATCATTCTCTTTCTGCATCAACCTGTTGGAAAAATAGGACAGTAAAGGAAGCTACCTCAGGAAAGCAATTCATACCAGACAAAAACCTGAATATAAGATGCTGAAGGCACTGAATGAGATGAAAATAGGTATTTTCTTCAGCTTTGTATTACCTAAGTGTTGCTGCAGTATCTTTCTGTTTTGTGTAAGCAGAAAGTCTGCAAAGAGGAACACAAAACAACTTGGAACTTTGCCTCATTTATGGTCTGTGTCCTTCTGTAGTCTCTTAGCAGGTCAGAGGACTGTTTTATTATTTCATTTATAATTGCATTAGACATGGCTCAGAGGCTACAAAAAAAAAAAAAATTCCCACCTCTCTGACGTAATTAGAGAACCTCTTAAGTGTCTTCCTGAGTTATTTCAGCACCATTGACTAGTGTTCATTCACAGAGAGATACAGTATATATATTGCAGCAGCAGCAGAAGAAAAACAGATGAAATTCAAAAGATGTACCGGTAAATAGTGGCAGTTTATTTTAAATGTGGAAAGAAATGTATTTAGAGGCTGTCCTGGAAAGGTAAGATTGTGTTACCTCTGGAGTGGAAAGAAGAGACCTGAAGATCATGAGAACAAAATATGATTTCTAAGAAGGTGAGGACTGATGCAAAGGTCAGAATAAAATTAAAGGACCCAAAGTGTTTAGCAGTCTTAAGCCAAGCACAGTCATCAGAAAGTGCTTCTATATGTATTTCTCCTCATTTTCCTGGTGTTCCAGTGCAAAGAAAATTAATGGTAAAATAGATTATCAAAGATAAACTGCTTTTGCAGAGCTGTTCTGCCTTGTATTGAGCACTAAAGTGAGATAGGTGGATGGAAGAGGGAACCCAATACAAGGTGTGTATGAGAGAGGGGGGGGGACAGGGAGAGGGAGAAAGGGAGAGAGAGAGCACTATTGAACTTGAAAATTCATTGTGCATACTTGTTTCATTGCCTTGTTTCATCAGCAGCTGTAGCTTGTGCTTGGTGTGCCCAAAATAATGAGCATGTGAAGGTATTCTGTTGGCAATACTGAGGAACAGTTTGCCAATCATTATGTTTCATACTTCACATTGCAAAACTTTAATAAAATAAAAGGTCATGTCTTGAATGTACGAATATGTTTTTAGTCATATAATAAGAAAGGATAGATATTGCATAATTGCAGTAAAAAACCCACGAAGATTAACTTGGCTGTTGCTTTCTTATAGAAATGAACTGGCTAATGTTGCTGACATTTTGATGATCCATGGAGAAGCAAGAGGGACCGGTTCTTTAGCAAACTGCCAGTCCCTGGCAGAGGGTAATGGAATCAGAAAGAAACAAAGTTGGACATGTGCTGGTAAGGAATATTCAGTGGAGACATGTTTAATTTCTATCTATCGATTGCTAAATGCAGAAAGTTTTATGGATTTTTTCTTTGTCACCCTTCATTTTCTTTTGCTGTTGCTGTTAATAAAAGGAGAAATTCTCTGTTAGATGGAAAGAAGTTTCTGCAGGTTTCCTCTCCCCCCGCCCCTAAACAAATGCAACTGAATATTGTCAAACAATTTTACTCTATATTGCCAGATTGGGACATCTAGAAGTTGTTCAGTGGCAACCCAGTCAGTGTGGGAAAGAGTGAGTGTGGGATGCTGGGAACCATTGTTCAGCCTTATCTAGAGGGCTACTGGTTCTTCATTGCTCCCTGAAGAACTGCTAAATTAGACTCAAGCTCTGAGAAGAGGAGAGGAGAGGAGAGGAGGGGAGAGGAGAGTTGGAAGGGACCTAGAAGGTTGGTTGTCCAATCTCTTCTTTAACACTTCCAGTGTTGGAGCATTCATAACTTCTGAAGATGAATTGTTCCACTAATTAATTGTTCTGTCAGGCAATTTCTTCTTAGTTCTAGGTTGCTTCTCTCCTTTATTAGTTTCCATCTATTGCTCTTTCACAGCAGAAGCTTCATTGACAGGGCTGGTTCCAGATTACTTCTTTTAATTTCTCTCCTCTATGAGTCCAAACAAGTCTGGGGAAAAATTATTTACCTCATGGATGAAGGCCAAAGTAAGCAAGGATTAACTAAAATGACAGTTTTGTATTCATTATATCACAGTAGAATGTAAATGTGATTTGTTTTTAAATGGGAGGTCATTATTTTCCCCATCTTATAGGCAGGAGCAATCAAAGCCAAACATAGTAGCAGTAGGACCAGTCTGAGTTTTCCTTGTATTAATTCCTATTTATTGTTAAACAAAATTGGAAGAAAGTCCACCTTTTTTGAGTCAGCTGTGGTGTGAAGTGGGTCAGATAACTATGTTCCTGGATTGCTAAGAAGCATCTAGTATTGTAGGAATGGGCATCTGTAGCTTTTATGGATTTTTTAAAAAAGGTCTTTTGTTAGAAGGAGGAGGAAAGGGAGGCTTAGCTTTTCCTCTTTGAATGATAATTGGAATCTGTCTGAAAGAGGGAAGTCAGAGGATGAGCCATTGAGCCAAGCTCTAGGACAGGGATCTGCAACTTAAACACTCAAAGAGCCACAAAGGTCCTAACTGGAAGCCCCTTGTTCAATTCTGGAGTTGACCAGAAGTCTGGTTCCCCCACCATAGAGTCTCCTCCTAGCACGGCGTCCTTCTTCCTCTACCGACTGGAAATCTGGTTCCCCCACCATAGAGTCTTCTCCTTCATGGTGTCCTTTTTCCTTTACCTGTCCTAACCAAAAGCCCTATGAATTGTGGAGCCAACTGGCAACAGCAAGCCGTGGCAGAGGGATGAAAGACATGAGAGCCACATGTGGCTCCAGAGCCGTGGGTTGCTGACCCCTGCTCTAGGAATTCATGATGAATTTCTATCCTTCCCATGTTTCTATTCCTGTACCCTTAGTCACATCCTGAAGCAACATCTGTCTGTAATTCTGAGAACCAGTGGAAAAGATCACTGTTTTGCTTTGCGCTTCTGCAGATGCAAAATCTCATTGCCCAAGTCCAAAAGAAAGGGAGGAAATAAAAAAGAAAAAGATTTGCAGATGAACCAGGTAGAACTGACAAACTCCTGTTTAGCTTTGCTTGTTTAGTTTGGGTTACTGAAAGGGAGATGCACAGCTGTCAAAATAGCAATATCTTTTCAGATCCTAACGCAAATGACCCATAGAAGGGGTAGGCGAGATTTTTCTTTTGTGGGAAGTGGAGTTACAGTATCATTAAAACCAGCTACAGTGTCGTTAAAGCCAGCTAGAAATGAATGGGCTCACCTCTCCCACAGCACTGCTCACCCTGTTAGAATCCAGGCATTACTTCAAAGAACTGTTGAGCCGATCGAACTTTCTGGCGGACACCAAGTGATTGCTGCAGCCAGGAGCACTGTGAACAGTTGTGGCTAACTAGGCAGCAGTATCCTCTGGAAGAGAGAAGGTAGCCGTAGTGATTCAATGCCTCGCATTTAGATCATTGTAACATGCTGCCCTTGAAAAGCTTAGTGTATGTAGGATAACAAGTGATGAACCTATTGGATATAAGGTTTAGACAAAAATTATCACCAGTCTGGAGCCAAAAGTAGAGATTCTCAGTCATCCAGGTCATGGTTGTCCCAAAGGTGCTTTTTTCAGGAGGCAACTGGACTTTCTTGTTTTTTCTTTGAAGACCTTTCGCTTCTCATCCAAGAAGCTTCTTATCTTTTAGCTATACAATTTGGGATGAACCCTTGGAATGATGTGGGAGTGGGAATGGATTTCCAGAGAAAAAATTGCAGACTACAGGAACCAGGAGCACTACTCAGGTGACCCCAAGGACACAGATAAATGTCCAAGTGCTTCAAGGACCCTCTAAAAAGATGCAAATGACCAGCTGTCTGCAAGGAATATAAATCCTTCCATTCCCCACTGTCCTTCAGAGCTGAAGAAGCTTTTTGGATGAGAAGTGAAACGTCTTCAAAGAAAAAACAAGAAAGTCCAGTTGCCTCTTGAAAAAGCAGCTTTGGGACAGTTTGGAATCAACCATATTTGCTTCCGGTTAGTTTCTGAACCTACTGTAGGTCTCTATTCTTGTTTTGGAAATCCTAAACAGGTTAGTGGCAGAATATCAGCGAAGATGTTACCTCATGTATAAATATACCCTTATATACCTTCTTTATCATAAATGCTGTGCTACAACCTATCACAAGATTAGGTCAATCAGTATAAAGAAACTTTGCTGTGGCAACTGTGGGCTGTTGACTGTTGCTGCAATCCTTACTGAAATGTAGAAGTACAGAAAATCATATTGTTTCACTTGGGCTTTGATGAACAATGATTAATGTTAATATTGTTTTCTTCCGCTTTTTATTTTTGTTTTAAAGCCATTGCCTTTCATTTTATGTAATTTATTACAAGAGAAAAATCTCAGTAGACAGTCAAGTGATTTATAGGTACTCAATAATAAAGAACAGAAGAACAAACTCATTTGAATGAATTACCACTTTTTATAATATATGGAAAGGTCACCTAGGAGGAGGAAGGCAAACATTGAAATTAGAGATCACGCTAAGCTACAGTGTGGTTTGTTTGGCTTTGGCTAAAGTTGCATGCAAGACATATCAAGCATGAGCTGCTTTGAGCCTGAAACAGCTGTTTTGTGTGATTTGCGCATTGGAAAAAAAATCACATATTTTGGATAAAACACAGAACAATTGTTTCAGGTAGAAAGCATTTTGAGTGGGAGTTTTTTTTTAAGTGATGTGGCTGGAAGTTGTCTTGTCTCTTGCAATTGGAGTGTTAGCTTTCAAGGTCTCCTCAGGACAGCAGAAACATTGGGTCATATTCCTGCTGGTCTTGGCTTAGGTTTGGTGGAGCTGCAATGCTGCATGAAGTGTGCAGTGTTTCTCAACCTTGGAAGCTTGAAGATGGGTGGACTTCAACTCCCAGAATCCCCCAGCCAGCACTGCTGGCTGTGGGATTCTGGGAGTTGAAGTCCACCCATCTTCAAGCTACCAAGGTTGAGAAACACTGCGTTAGAGCAAAGCAACAGGCAGTTCAGGAGCACACGGTCAGTCAGCATTCTGAGGGAAGTGTTCTGGATCTAAGGGCCATTGAAGAATGGCTGTAGAAAAGTTGGAGGAAGAAATTGCTGTGAAAGTCTCGGGGCCCGGTTTTTGTTTCTGCTGGTCTGGTGCTCTTTTGTGCATAGTCTCTGGTGCCTGCCTGTTTCTAAAACAGTGTCCACAGCCTGAATGCCAGCATATATTTCTTTTAGTTTCAATTTTGATTCAATGGGATGGCTGGTGATTTTACTCAGACACAAACAAGGGAGGGGAAAATCCCCCTTTCAAATCTCTTGATTTGCAATCCGCTCCCTTTTGATTTTAAATAAGATTTCCTCCGTAGAATCCTGTTTTCTCTTGAATTAGGCCTACTTCCTTCTTTGGCCAAAACTGATATTGTTAACTTTGCTGCTTGCTAGATATACATGGACACATTAAATTGAGTGCAGTAGTTAACAGATAACAGGTAACAGAATTGGACGGGACCTTGGAGGTCATCTAGTCCAACCCCCTGCTCATGCAGGAGACCTATACTAGGGATTCGAACCATCGAACTGCTGAACTTTTCTGATCAACAAGCTTAGTGTCTTAGCCACTGAGCCACCTAGCCAGGCTAAGTTAAGTTAAGTTAAGGTGTGGACTGGACCAAGTAATACAGGTAGTCCTTGGCTTATGACCACAATTGAGCCCAAATTGATGTTAAGTGAGACATTTGTTAAGTGAGTTTTGCCCATTTTAAGACCTTTCTTACCATAATTGTTAAGTGACTCACTGCAATTGATAAGTTAATAACCCGATTGTTAAGTGAATCTGACTTCCCCATTGACTTTGCTTGTCAGAAGGTCACAAAAGGTGATCACATGAAGCCGGGATACTGCAACCGTCATAAATATGAGTCAGTTACCAAGTGTCTGAATTTTGAATTTTGGGGATATTGCAAAGGTCGTAATGGTCATAATTCACATTTTTCAGGGACGTTGTAACTTTGTGCTGTTGTAAGGCAAGGACTTCCTATACTTATGTTCAAGTGCACTTTGAACTATGGAAGCTTACTAGGTGATTTTGGACCAGATACCCACTGTCCCAGGGCATGTTATTGAGTGAAAATACTTGGAGAAGGCAATACATCTGCCTTGAAAACTAAAGGTTGCTAATAATCCCCCCCTTTGTTATTAAAAAAGCTTGAAAGCTTTTCCCCCAGTTCTAATCCCCAGTTTAGAGCTAGCCAGGTACACTCCCACAACTTTACACGTCTCCCCCTCAAAAAAATACCTCTTGCCTGGGAGAACTAGGCCAGTTAGAGGGCTAGTCAGAGGCAGGTGACAGCAAGAATGTTTGTTTGTTTATTTATTA